GAATTAGAAGCTAAGCATACAAGTCGAAACTTTAATAAAATTTTTGCAAAAAATCGAGCTTAACTTTTTAGAGGTGATTTCAGTGAAGAGTTTTTAATTAGAAAAAGATGTGTAAATGTCAAGGCAGGTTTTTCAAATTTTGTGCATTACTTATTAATTAAATATATTAATATGATATTTAACTGATTATTTTAACTCAAAACTGATTAAAATCTAATCATACCCTACTGTATGTACTGTTACTCAGAGAAATATCAATTTACAAGGAGTTAAATCAACCAGCAAAATTAAACAAACAAAACACTAGACCACCTTATTTAAAGAGACGTTTAGATTCGGCGAAGTGGAATGGTTCTAAGGCTTCGGCAATTCTTAGGCAAGAAACACATAACAAACTTCGGTTTACTAACACTCGAACCACTGGAACCAACTCGCAAGGAAATATATCCACAATACTTCCGGGTACGGTACTCAATACAATCAACCTAAACTAAGGTTGGAAATAGTGCTAAACTCAGATAACAATAAGGGTTGTCTGTATCAGACAGACAATTGGAGCGATCTAGTCTAAATTTGGGCTAATTCAGAAAAGTAATCTTTGGGCAATGAGATGGATATGGTTTATGACAGAATTAACAATTAGACAAGAATTTAATTTAGCAAGGATCGAGGTGAAGGTAGTGTTTACAAAATATGTATTTAAATGAGCCAAAGACAAGCTAAGGGACACTTGTTAAATCATAAAAATGATAATTTTATTAGACAGCAGAAATGTACTGCTTATATACTTTCTTTTACACTATGTTTCGTTTAAGACTTTTAAGTCTTATAATAATATAAATCCTTAAAATACATTAAATAAAGAAAAGACTTTTAAGTTTTAAAAGTATTATACCCCTGACTTAAAGACCTTTAAGACTTTTAAGACAAATCGCTCCTAAAAGTCTTACTACCAAATAAATCAAGGATTGTTGCTAACTAAAAATAGGCTTCTGCGGCATATACGTAATTAACCAGCCTAAAATTAAAATTTCCAGAGGTCTAAGTTTCCTGGGTTACAATACCCCTGACTAAAAATGTGAGTTCTACAAACATTAGAGGACCAATTGTTGGAGATCTTCATTCAACAGCAACCTAAATGTGTTAAAAGTAACCATAGTGGTGCTATAAATTTGTTGAACGCCAAGAGGAGCAAATACATCGTAGACATGCGCAGCCGCAAGATAGTAATGTCGGGTTACTTGTCTTCGGATGGCTCCTTTTTGAAGTGGAGTAGCAGTTACAAACAACATACTGAGGTAATAGGCAAACACCAAAGTTTCAATTCTATTTTTCAACCAAATGGCCCGCAGCAAGGCCATATGGGTCATTTTATGCTTTCTATAAGATTTTGGGTCTCCTCAAATAGAGGTAGAGCCACAAATGGAGGTGGAGTTACAAGAACACCAGAAGGGACTAAAGAGGTTATATCCCTGATGATTGCGTGGATATCTATTTTTTTTTTTTTTTAAATGGTTGTAAAGATAAATGGATCGAAGTTTCGAACTTGACTATATATATATAAAAAAAAAAACTCTCTTTCGATCTACTAGTTATAATATATGTATTCTTTTTTTTTTTTTTTCACACACCCTTATTATCAAAATATCATTCGTCTCTTACTCCTCTCCATCACGCAATCTACACCTTAATTTAATACCCTTCCCAGTTCGGCACCTCTTTGATGATCTTTGTACCTTTTAATTAAGTTAGTACTAATTGGGGTTGATGCGACTTGACCTTCCATTGTGCACAACTTGACTACATTTCAGTCAAAAACTTGATGAATGTAGCATGGGCCTGACCATTTCGGTTCAAGCTTTATGCTACGATTATATTGTCGTGACACACGGTACACCAAAACTTTTTCCCCTATTCCAAATTCAGTAATATTCTGAATCTTTCTATCATGAAGCTGTTTTTGCCTATTCTGCGCTTTTTGTACTTGAAAAAAGGCAGCTTGGCAGATTACCGGCAGCGTATCTACCAGCCCTCGAACTCTTTGGGTCATAGTTTCTCCAACATTTTCGTCTGATTGAATGGGCTGTCTTGTATCTCGACCGTAGATTAAGTAGAATGGTGTTATCCTTGTAGTAGAATGCTTCGAAGTTCGATAGGCAAACAATATGGATGAGATAATTAAATCTCAATCTGCCACATTTTCTATAGTTTTGGCAATCGACTTGCACAGGGTCCGGTTAAACCATTCTACCAGCCCATTTGTCTGGGGGTGGTATAGCATCGACAAGACATGCTTAGTTTGGAACTTTTCCAATAATTTCTGAACTAGCTTATTTCGGAAATGAGTTTCTCGATCTGACAGGATCAACTCGGGGCACCCATGATGACAAATTATTTCATTGTACAGGAAATCGGCCACTTCCTGAGCATTTGCTAAACTAATGGCTTTAGCTTCCGGCCATTTAGTCATATAATCTGTTGCCACCACTATGTACCTACTTGTTCTAGATGTGATAGGTAGTGGTTCTACAATATCTATACCAACCTGATAAAAAGGAGCCACGACCGGTATAGAGTGTAAGGAAGTAGTCAGCCGGGGCTTACCTCGTCGTTGACATTGGTCACAGGACTTCACATACTCCCATATTCGTTTATATGATTGAGGCCAGTAATAGAGTTGCCTTATTTTCTCAAACATGGTTTCGATCCCTAAATGACTTCCTAGTGAGTGATCATGAACCAGATATAATACTGGTTCCACTTCTTGGGTTTGAATAACCCTCAACGGCTTATTCGAGTTTCTGCTATTGTTTTGAAAAATAATCTCATCTTTCAAGAAAAATATCTGCCTATTATTTATAAGTCTTCTTCTTTCTTTCTTAGACAATCTCAGATTAATATATTGTTCTTGAAGAAAGCGCTTTAATTGATTAAATCTTTCCGGATCCATCTTAGTATTTCTTGTGCCAGGATACCGACTACCTGGTCCGAATTTTTGCTTAACGTTAGATTTATACCATTAGGAAATTTCACACAGAGGATTCTTCCTATAGTTTGTTTGGTATTTTAACTTGTTTAGGTTCTTTAATGTCTTCAATTTGCTTAGATACACTATAACACTATTTATCTAATAGTGCAGACATATCTTTAATTATTGCTATCCCTAACTCTTACAATTGATCGATTTCCCCCAATGGTGCCATTATTTTCATTTGACCAATTCTTAGAGTCATTCATTACACATCTTCTTAGAAGATTTTTGATAGCAAAGAAATGCCTTAGTATTCAGCTATAACCAAAAATCTAAACTTCAACTCTCATTATTTTCTTCCAATACACTTTTTTTTTTTTTTTTTTGCATTCTATTTTAATTTTCCAAACTTAGTCCTTATTGGACTTTTTCTAATTTAATACCCCAATCGGCAACTGATTCTTTGCAGATCAAGTTTTCATCGATCTTTTCTCAAATAAATAGGGCCCCAACTCGCCCTACCCCATCCTAATCAACCTTACTAATGTTAGGTCTGTGATTTGGAAAAAACTAAATAAAATTCGGACGGTGTTACTAAAGTACCTATTTTTTTTTTTTTTTTCTTTCGGTCATATGATCCCGAGAACATGAATGTCCAGGAGGTTATATAACATTAAGATATTAAAAGAAAAAGGATATTAGTATTTATATGTGTTTACTAATCCAACTCGATTTCCACAGGTAAGATAAGAACACCATTATCATCTACAAGTCTTCGGTTACACTCAGGATCAATGCCAGTTTGTAAAGCCATTAACTGCCAGGCTTCACTTTGTTGTACTTCATCTTGCATCCAGTTTTGCAGGATTAGTAATTCATTTGGGTCGTTGGCAATTAAAAGATAGCCATAAAAATCTACCCAATATACGGCCTCCCATAAATTGAGCTCCCGGGCTGCTATATGGTTATTAAGAGTAGGATGGTCATAGAGAAAGAACTCATTTTCGAAGTGCTGGGTTTTCCCTGCAAAGACCAATTTTTGGCATCTTCTAGGAGTTAACTTAGTAAAAAGAAAGACAGGTATATATATAGGCACATCCCGCTGATATTAATGGCTTGTGGCTCAAAGGTTTCTTCCTGGTCATCTTCTGGCCATTTGATAAATTCATCTATCATTGCATTCTTTTGATTTACTTGGTTTGCAAGACTCTTATTAACCTTCCACTCTTTGGTCAAAGTTTCTTCCTCCGGGGTGGTTAGACTTGTCGATCCACTGTTTATTACAACTTCTATTTGGGTCTCTTTGTCATCTGACATTTCCCATTGTGAAGAAGAAGAATAATTACCATCAGATGATCCTTCATCACCCTCATACTTGGGGTCATTTTCTTCCTCCGAGGCTTCTATAACTTCTTCGGGTGTAAGCGACCAAGGCACATTTTTTTTGGGCTCCTATTCTATCCAGGTTACATCAGTGAAGCTTTCTTCACCCTGGATGGCCCTTAAATCATCCACTAAGTATACTTCGTCCTGGGAAAGTGACATTTCAGTTCCTTTTCTATTCTCATATTCCCACCACTGTTAGACAATATCACTATGGCCTTCCCATAACAACCTATGACCTGATTCTACTTCGAAATCATGTAATAATTGTTCATACCCTTGTTCCTGCCGATTCATGTCCACTACTTCACTCTCATCAACCTCCCACGTATTCCATTGTTTCTCTATACTATCAGTTCTTTCATACTCCATCTCTTCTACCTCAGATTCATAATCTCCTTCATCCTCATAGTCCTCTTCATAATCTTCATTCTCTGAATACCATTCATCTTCACTATCTTCTATACATATAACATCAACTTTAAAAACCTCTCTAGCTTCTTCTGGCCGGTTTTCTTTCTCATTATCATTTATTTCAGGGAGACGAAGTAGTGCATCTACATTAGAGTGCACCCGACCACTCCTATGTACGATTTTAAAAATGTAAGATTGGAGCCGGAGGATCTCCCTTGCTCTTCTTCCTTTCAATTTCAATATCTCCAACCATTTAAGAGCGGCATGGTCCGTGATCACTACAAAAGGCTTAATGCCTAAATAATGGTGGAAATACTCAATTCCCCAAATTACCGCCAGACACTCCAACTCAGTGGTAGAGTAGTTTTTCTCGGCACGACTTAAACTTTGGCTATCACATGCTTTCTATTTTTTTCATCTCTTTGGGACAACACAGCCCCGAGACCTATCCCTAAAGCATCTGTGTGTAAGTAGAATGTCTTATCAAAATTTGGGTACTGCAAAATTGGGGCAGTAGTCAAATGGCGCTTCAATGTTTCAAATACCTAATGTTGAGGCTCACCCCAATCATATGGCACATCTTTCCGAAGTAGGTGATGCAAGGGTTGAGCAAGAGAGGCAAAACCCTTAATAAACCGCCTATAGTAGGATTATAGACCCAAAAATCCTCTCAATTGGCGCAGAGTCTTCGGTGCCAGGTATTCTCGGACTTTGATGACCTTTTCATTATCCGGCCTAATTCTATTCCTAGTAATTTCATGGCCTAGAAACTTTAACGACCTTCTAAGAAGGTAACATTTGTCACTATTTAGTTTTAACTATGCCTCCTGAAGCTTGATAAAGACCTTTTTCAAATGTTCTATTTGTTCCCAGAAAGTTCTAGAGTAGACAGAAATGTCATCTAGGTAGACAGCAACAAATTGCCCAATATACTCCTTTAGCACATAGTTCATCAGCCGCTGAAATGTAGCCGGGGCGTTACAGAGACCGAAAGACATAAAATTAAACTTATACACCCTGAACTTGGTAACAAAGGCTGTCTTTTCCCTGTCTTGTTTGGCTATAAAGACTTGCCAGTACCCACTGGCCAAGTCTAAACTGGAGAACCAAGAGGCATTCCCGAATGTCTCTAGCATATTATCTATTCTTGGAATAGAATAGGTGTCCTTCTTTGTTACTGAATTGATTTTCTGATAATCAATACAGACCCATAATTTTCTATTCTTCTTCGGGACTAACACCACTGGAGATGACCATGAGCTATAGGACTCCCTTATTAATCCCGTATTCAACATTTTTCAAACCTCTTCTTGTAAAAACTCCTGCTCACTAGGTGCTAATCGATAGGCCGCCTGCTTGATAGGAGATGCAGAACCCATGTTGATATAATGCTGAACAATATTTGTCTGCCCTAAATCTTCTAATCCTCTAGCAAATATATCTTCGTACTTAGCAAATAACCATTCAGCTTGTTCTCGGCCCTTGTTACCTATTTCTTCCTGGGCTACTAATTCATCTAGTGCCTTTTTCCATATTTCACCCAATTCTTTTTTTTCTTTATCTTCTTCGTCATAATACCCCACCAAAACCTCTTCTATAGCCGCACAACTTTGTGCCCTATCCCAAGGGTTTATATGTAACTCTTCTTCCGACGAGGCCTCACTGATATAATTGCCCTCAGCTTCTTCTAGCAGTTCATCCTCAAATTCTAATTTATCAAAGAGGTCCTCATCATCACTTTCATCATCAGGCTTCAAAAGCTGATGTTCCCCAACATGTGATATAGCCAAGCGGGTTGTTTGGCCCTGATAAGTCAGGTATAACTTTTCTTCATCAAAGTGCATACG